CAGGAGCGCAACTCAACAATATTGGCAATATCATTTTAAAGTCGTCTACTTTAAAATGCATAATGTATGTCTGAATTGTCAATATAAATGAGTCAGATAAAATTAAAATTATTAGAAGAATTTTTCACTATGTAAGAAAAAAACAAAATTTGTTTTATTTACTGTTTGTATTTTGAGAACGATTTCCGAAGTGGAAATTGAAACGTCAATAAACGTATTTATATCTTTAATTGTGGGTTATTCCCAGTTTAATAGTAATTAATTTACAATGGCACAAGAAAATAGCTTCAGAACAATACTTATCTCCTTTATTCTCCACTAGAATTCACGTACTTTTAGATATTAAAAACATAGATTTTAAGCAATCTCGTATATAGTTAGTATTTCTTGTGCACTTTTCTCTTTTTTCGTAAATAAAAATACTGTTATTGTACAATATTATAAAGGTAAAACATTTCTTATTTATTACATCAGCATTAAGCTCGTACAGCCACATTTTCATTACATAAAATCAACTCAAACTATTTATCTTCATCCCGTCTACAAAGTACCTACTTAATTAAAAATATAATTTAAGAAGCTCTTAGCATTATCCTCTTATAATTTAAAGGAAGAATTTCAACTGTAACAGGAACAAATTCAATGAGAAATTATAAAGTCTTGAATTAAAGTTGCTAAACTTATTTTAAGTTTCAGCACCTGGCTTGTTAAATCGGCAATTATAATTTAAATTTAATTTGGACCGTTGGAGTTTTTGTTACGGTTGCAACAGATTGTTGTTGAAATATTTGTGTCGACAAAGTAATTGGAAATGGTAATTTTGTTACTCGCCGAAGTGGGTATATGCTCGGGAGTAAGAAAGTTAAAACCACGGGCGTGCTTTTTTAAAAAAACTGCTGATTTGAAAATAGTCTTAACAACTGTAAGTTTATCTGTTAAAATTTATTTTTTGAGTTGACTTTTTTCTCCTTTAAATAAAATTTAATTCACGATATCCAGTCACGATGGTGACAGTGCAGAATAGACAATTGGAGTAAGTAAGCGGGAAAATACTAACCTTCTTCTTGTTCTTCAGCCTTCATTTACCCATTGCTGGACATGGGCCTCCTCCAATTGCTTCCACGCTTCCATATCTTTTGCAATTCTCATCCACTGCTTTCCAGCTACAGCTGTTATATCCTCTGTACATCTCTTTTTGGGTCTTCCCATGCTTCTTTTTGTTTTTTGAGGTCTAAAGAATGTCACTTTATGAGACCATCTGTTGGTGTTTTGTCTTGCTGTATATGCTACACATGGCCATCTCATTTTCGCTATTTTTTCATCATGTCGGTTACTTTAGTTCTTCGACGTATTTCGGTGTTGGAAATTTTGTCTCTGAGGTTTATATTTAACATGGCCCTCTCCATGGCTCGTTGAGTTACTCTTAACTGTTTTACCATTTTTCTTGTTATTGCCATAGTTTCCTATCGATAAGTTGCAACTGGTAGTATACAAGTATCATAGGTTTTTAGTTTTAAGTGTATTGGGATTTCTCTGTCTTTTAAAATGAAGCTCAACTTACCAAACGCAGATGACAATTTCGTCCTTCTTTTAATTTCTAGGGTTTAATTTTTCTTTTGTTTTTAATTGCATGTCCTAGATATTAGTTGTTCTACCTTTTCTTTATATCTTTGTTTTGTTGAAATTCATTTTTAATCCTATTTGATTCGATTTGTGATTTAAATCTTGTAGCTTTGATTTTAGTTCATGGATATCTGTGCTTATTAGTACTAAGTCGTCTGCCAAACACAAATGGTTAAGATATACTTTATCCATTTTTAATCCCTTTTATGCCCAGTTTAGTTTTTTAAAGACAATTTCTCAAAGTAAATAACTTGTGTGGGATAATGTCGCTCTGTCTCATACCTTTGCCAAGGTTTATTTTCATAGTTTCCAGATCATCATCTACTTTTACGTGAAAAGTAGCATTATGGTATATATTCTTAAGGAGGGCAGCATATCTTGAATCTAGTCTGGCTTGTTCTGTGCTTTTAAGAAAGCCCATTTCTCGATACTGTCGAATGCTTTGTGATAATCGACAAATGCCAGATGTAGTGGTATGTTGTACTCTATTGTTTTTTTTAATAACTGCTCGGATTGTTTGCAAGTGATCAATAGTGCTAAAACCCTCATGCAAGACTGCTTGCTCCACTGGTTGGTATGCATCTATCATAGCTTAGCTGTCAATCTATCTATGTTATTATTCGGGTTATTAGTTTGTTAAGGTGTGATAATAAACTTACTTGTCGTTAGTTTTCTATATTTGCGGCGTCTCCTATTTTATAGAGTAGAATCACTTCCGCATTTTTCCATGCTTTTGGGATTTGTCTTTTCAATAGGCATTTATTCAGTAATGCTCTCATTGCCTTTTTTAATGCAGTTCCTTCCATTTTTAGTATCTCTAAAGTAATTTTATCTTCTACTGATGTTTTCCCATTTTTCATTTGTTTTGGGGCGGCTCTAATTTCTGATGATATTATTCCAGGAAGATCCTCTGTGCCGACATTTAAGATATATTTTGTTGGTATACCGGGTTCGGAATAGTATCAAGTATACAGCTCTCATAAAATTTTCGGATTTCTCTAACGATCTCTTCCTTATGCGAGCCACAATGTCCCACGGTCGTCTTTTTCTTTATAATTTTATTCCTGCCAGTGGATTTACATATTTAATTAGTATCTTATTGTTCTCTATGGTTTCAAAAATCTGGTTTGTTCTATAAGCTCTGAGGTCTTTTCGAATATTTTTCTTAACACTTCTGTTGAGCGCTTTATAGTCCGGGTTATCTGCGTTCGTTCGTTTTCGTTTCTCGATCTATTCTAGAGTCTCGGGTTTTAGTTTAGCTTCTTTTTGCTTTCTTATTCTGCAATAAGCAGATATTGCAGCTGAATTCTTAGCTATTTTATCTATATACTTATGCTCTAGGAACCTAGTAGTATTTTTCTACTAGTTCGTGCTAATTCCTCTTGGTATTTCTCTTTATTACTGGCTAGGATTTCTGCCGCCCGTAAAGGGTTTATTGTTAATAGTTTTCGTCTTTCTCTCTTTACGTTAATACGTATATCGGCACGAACTAGTCTATGGTCACTGCCGGTGGTAAATTAGTTCAGCACCTTGATGTTTTTACACATGGATATATCACTGGAAAGAATAAAATCCATTTCTTTCTTAACTGGCCGTTAGGACTACGCCATGTCCATTTTTTTTGTATTTGTTTTTTATAAAACGTGTTCAGGAAAAACATTTTTTCGGTGCTTACGTAATATGCTAATGTCTCTCCTCTGGTGTTTCTGTTGCCTAGACCAAAATTTCCTATGTAGTCTGAGTCGCCTGGTATTCGTTGCCCTATTTTTGCATTAAAATATCTGGTGATGATAACAAAGTGTAGTTTTTCTAGGTCTTTAGCTCGCGTTATATCTTCGTAGAGTTGTTCCATTCACTCGTCATCATCCGCAGTGAAAGTTGGAGCATAGCAGTGTATTATTTGTAAGCTATATTGTTTATTCACTTTTAATACAAGATATATACACTCTTTCCAACACTGCTGAGTATTTCACAATCTGGTGTTCTATTCTTAACCATAAAAGCCACTTCTCCTTGGCCGTGGTTCTCTTCTAAATTATATTGGTATACAGTGTGCCCAGATTTTAGGGTGGTCTTTTTCTCCCTTTGAAGTCTCGTTTCATATAAGCTTACAATATCCCATTTAATAGCCCCTAGTTAATGCCCCAATTTCTCTAGATGGTCGTTCGATCTCATGGTTTCTAATGTTATATTAGCAATTTTAAATTTTTGAGAATTAATTTGTTTATCATTGTTATGTATTTTCGATCTTCTGCCTCCCCAGAATCCGTGAGGCAGGCATATGGAGTGGAATTCTGAATTATAACTCTACATACCTGGGTACTATATTTTTTAATCTCGATTTAGGCATGAATTTATTCAAGAAAAAATGTCAATTAAAACGCCACACTTACTGAGCGGATTGGAGAGTTTAGATTTCAGCCGCCCCTAACCTGGAGTCAGACGCTGTTTGCAGCCGCTCATTCTGGATAAGACGCTGCTGGATTCTGACGTACCGAAGGTTTGCTTCTTCGTCGTAATCTGCCATTGTGGTCTTTATTCGTAACCCTGGACAAGGACCCTAAACAGGTGCTAGTTTCCGGGTCAGGAAAACCCTGGAATCTGCAGAGGCCAGGGAACGATTCATCTTTCCTGATAGGACTATCCGAAGAGTTCCTACCTGCGTCTCCAGGTCATAGCTATGTAAGTAAACGGCAAAGACAAGTACCTGACAGGAAATCGGAAAGTGTAGAAAGAAATGTCGAGATACTTTGCAAGGAAATGAAGCACAAACTTTTAATGAGTTTTGGAACTTTGGTGACTATGATAAACAAAATATTTATGTTATTTACCAAATCAAATCTGTTCCAAAAAAAGAACCTACCCCAAAAAAATTAAAAAACATGTTTCGTCGTGAAATGTTTCAATACAATACTTTGTAAAGATTAAAAGTATAGTTGTAAAAATATGCAAATAGGAGTTTCTTGCAGTTTATGGATTGCAAAAAATCAAAAAAGAGTTCAACTTTTATGTCAACAAATGAAGGAAGGTGCTAATACCCCAAAGTAATTTTAAAACAATTCTAAATATATAATTGCAATTTATATATTGTGCTTTTCATGTTTAGTACTGTATATAACTTCTAATATTATGATAAGGTACCTATTATACAACTCGTTATATTAGTAATTTGTTTTTGTCATAAAGGTGTAAGCCACATTTTCTCGAATTTTTACTGATTTTTTTTCTACAAAAACGACTTTTTTAAGATTAGCTTAGCGTTTTAATGATAGTGGACATACAGTTTTCAAATAACACCATTTACTGAATTTCTAATCTATATTTGGTATTTCAGGATTTGATTAAAACCTTTATAATTGATTTTATCAATAACTTACTTTTGTGGCATATACCGTTGTTGATCTAAGGTCTTCATTTGTTTTAAGACTTTAACTTTACTTTTAGCGATCTGTTTGTTCTTAAATATTATTAACTAGCTACGTTTTATGTTACTTGACATCTCTAACCATACGAAAGCTTTTAAAAGTAATTATTTTATAATCATTGAATTTAAGCCCTATTTAATGTCAAAATCATGTATAGTTACTATTTACCACAATTTGACGTGACAAAACATTCATTTGAGTAAAATGTACTAACTGTTAATGAATAACTGGCACCGTAATTATTTTCCATAATTCTAGGATTGACGACAAAATAATTTCCTTTACCCACCCATTGACACGCCCATCATTACGTTCAGTTGCGTGTGAAATCCATCGGTTTTCCGTGCTAATGAAAATGCAGGAAAGGGCCAATTTTACTGAATGAAATTCGAGAGGTTCAATTCGTTTAATAAAAGGTAAATAAAGGAAATAGCATATTTTCATTGTATTTGGAAGAAGCAATTAATAAATTTACTGAATTAGGAGAGCTTATTTCAATCACGGAAAATACACCGAATTATGATTTTATGATTAATCTGAAGTTCATTTTTCGTCATGTTTAATTACCACAGGGAAATTATTTATTTAGCAGAAGCAGTTGAGGAAATTAATGAGAGACTTGAAAAGCAAATAAAATCTGTGATAAAAACACTAGAAAAAACTTAACAAGGAATAACATTAACATGGAAAGAGTTTAATGTTTTGCACAGTATTTAAAATGACTCAATTAAACGTAGTAACTACATTATGACATTAATTACTATAAAAACTGTATGAAAGACGCCTTACATCGAATAGAGAACGTGGTCAACTCAAAAATCATAGCACAACAAGAAGTGTTCAGCTCAAAAATCATAGCACAATAAGCTGGTCTTAGATCTGGTACGACCAAGTCAAGTCAAGTCAAATTTATTGATCACATGCGATATTATACAAAGAACAAGTATGAGACACAGACACTAGTTACAGACATACATATTAAAAGTATATAAATTAATAAACACGATAAAACACAGTTAAAAAGTTATTTTTAGAATATGGCTCTAGCTCACAAATGTATTGATGTACACACCTCCGAAAGTTTGGTTGGTGTAAGTTCATTCGTATAATCATTGGTAATTTGTTAAACTTATGGCTGCATAATGTGTGCTACCTTCCAACAAAACAGAACGATGTTGTGAAAGCATAAAATGATTGTCTCCGAATCTTGTTGAAGAATCATGGTTAAATTGAAATTTATTAAATTCATAAATTTTGCTATGTAAATACATTATACACGAAAATATATACAGACCAGGAATTGTAAGAATACTGTTTTGTATAAAGATGCCTCTACAAGAATCTCTAAATTTCATTTTATACATTATCCTAATAGATCTTTTCTGAAGTACAAATATCTGCTCTAATTCAGAGGTACAACCCCAGACTTCAATGCCATATTTGGGTATTGAGTAAAAATGGGCAAAGTATACTGTTTTTAATATTATGTACGAAAGAGACGTGAAAGAATTCTCAATGCATAACATGCACTACTTCATCTGGATTTCAAATTAGAAATGTGGTTTGACCATTTACAACTACTGTTTACAAGTATCCACAGCAACTTCGTGCAGTCTGTTTTATCTATTGCTGCTTCTACAGTGGCTTTATGGTTTAATAAATTAATTGACGTAAAAATCAGATACTTTGATATCTCTTCATTCAAAAGTTTTGATGGTACAAATAGAATATTATAAAGAAAATTTCTCATGAAAAAAGAAATTCCTGCAGTTGACTGTATACCATAAATTATAAAAGTTCGATTAAAAATTTTTAATAAAAGTTATATTATAAACAATATCTTTTGGGCTATATCAGAAAACGATTTGTGACTAAAGAGTCCATTATCAGTACAATATGATCTAAAAAATAGTATTACCACTTCAAAGAAAGCAAACATAAAGGTTAAATTTTGATTAAGGTTAAATAAGCAATGTGGTTAACTACTTACCAGGTATACATAATTATATATATTACAGGATTCACCTTGTAAATACAATACATTTTGGAGACGGCTATCGCCTTAGTTCCGTTCTCCTCTGCCAATCATCTTGGTCCAAGGCATGTTCCTCCTCCAAACCTCTCGATTCCATCGCTGTTCTAGATCCTTCATTTCATAATTCCTTCTAATTCTCTTCTTTCTATTGTGTCAATGATCGTTTCTGTAGCATTCCTGTTTATTTTTATAGATTTGTTGGTCTTTTTTTCCAGCCTTGATGTTCTAGCACTTTTTCTCAAATAATCCATTTCAACTGCCAACAATCTTCTCTTCAAATCTGCATTAATTGTCCAAACTTTAAAGTTACACAAAGAACTGATTCAACCATGGTTTTCCCTATTCTTTTTTGTTCCTTTTGGAATTATTGTAATCCACCATAAGGAATTTAGACATCCTACAATTTTACGTTCCTGAATTGATAACTATTCTGTTTTCTTCGTGCTGACTTGTAACTCCCATTTTACATATTCCCTGTATAATAGCTGTATCATAAATTCTAGGTCATAGGAATCTTGGGCTAGGACGAGTTGGTCTTAAAAAAATACAAACTTTATGTTGTGTTACATTGTTGTTAAAATTATGTTGTGATGTTAAAGTATCTAACAGATATCCTGCATGGCAACGTAAGACTCCCAATAGAGATTACTGCTGACCTTCAGACTTTGCCTAAATGGGTTCTAGATGGCAACTAATTAAAATGACAGAGTTTGATCGGATGCATATACAAAGCAGTCAATATTCCATAAACATACACTTAAAACGAAGATTCGACTCTGAAACATAGTACCTAATACGTGTTTTAAAATCGAGCTCTTAAATTGAATTTAAAAAGTAGTGAAATACTAAAAATAATTTTCATTAATTAGTGATCCAGCAGTGAAATAACAAACATAAATACAATAGAGATAGTAAGTTACTTTAATCATAAGAGTTTTTACTACATATTATCAAATATTATTTCGGATAACCTACAAAATTCTAGGACAGGTATTTATACCAAACCTGTTCTACTATAGACTAAGAAGGTTGTTTGCCAGGACCGTACTCCATTTACCAATGATAATTAAAAATGGATAGTTCTACTCAATCCGAAATTCCTGCAACTACTAATACACCAAACAGCACATCATCATATCAATTTAATGGATCACGTACATATTCTTCCGTAACAAATCAAACACCACAATCTAATATATTTCCATCAAGAAAACAAGCAATTATTTTTAATTCAGTTGAAAATACCAAACTAGATGATTACTTGTTCGCTCTGAGTCGTCTGATAGAACCAACCCAGATCATCTTCTGTTCGAAATTATCAAATAATAGAGTATGTATTTATTTAGCAAACGAAAAACTAGCTGAGGATTTTATAAACAGAAATGAAAAAATTCAAATAGGCCAGCAGCTTTTACAACCTCGTAGACTAATTAGCCCCAGTCAGCGATTAGTATTGTCCAATGTCTGTCCCTCAATCCCACACTCAGTCCTAGTATCAGCATTAAAATCACATGGATTAAATCTTCTGTCACCTTTAACATTTTTAAGAATAGGCACATCAACACCACAATTCCAGCATATTTGAGTTTCAGACGTCAAATATACATATCTCCACTAAATAACCAGCCCTTACCTGATTCTTTTCTTATCACACATGAGGAAACGACATACAGATTTTCCTTTCATTAGATAACCAAGCTTGCCAAACATGTAAACAAAACAACCACTTAACAAAAAATTGTCCAATGTCTACTGCGATTACAACAGATAATTCAACATCAAATAACGCAGTTCCAAATATAGACCCAATTGAAAATACAACTAATCTATCAATTCAAAAACCCAGACAAACACTAAACAACAACAATCAAAAGAAGAAAGCATACAACAAGAATTCCAACCACAAACTACCCAACAAGAAAACTACACATGCAACCAGCCAAAGAAGATTTAGAAACAACAAACGAGCCAAAAATAGATCTAAAAATAAGACAACGCATATAAACACAGGCAAAGCACAAAACAAACGCACAATCTCCCAAATCTCTCCACCAGCTACTACATCTAAAGAGGAACCTACCTTTATTACACCAAAAAATAAAGAGAAGAAAGTAAAATCAGATCAAAATGTCAAACCACAAAAAACACTAGAAGAAATGCTAAGATACTGTAAAACTTTATTTGAGAACCCAAATTCTAACTACCCTATAACTTACGAACAGTTATTAGACTTTATTGAAAACTGTGAGAACTCATCAGACCCGTTAAGTATCGCCAAAATGTATACAGAAGAAACAGCAGAGGTCACAGATCTATTAACTAATATATACCCTTACCTAAAGGACCGAAAAATTAAAGTCAAATGCACTCGAATAAAAAATAAAATATTAAAACAAATCAACTTAGACATTCAAACAGACTTAGAAAGCGACACATCAACAGAAAATTAATAACACATCATTTTCAACTCTCTAATTCAATGGAACATAAATGGGTATTATACCCATTTAGAAATGTTAAAATTATTAATTTCAAAACATAAGCCTAGTCTGATATGTTTACAAGAAACCCACTTCAAAAACAACAAAGCTCATGACTTGAAGAATTTCAATTGTTTTTTTAGAAATCGAGAAAATTCGAAAATTGCAAGCGGAGGGGTAGCAATCTACATAAAAGATAGCTTTGACGCTAATACCAATAAAACTTAGAACAAGTATCGAAGCAATTGGAATTAGAGTCACAGACACAATTTCTTTTTCAATTTGCAATATTTACATTCCCCCCAATAAAGAACCCGATTCAAAAGAAATTTCAAACCTATTAAATCAACTACCTGCTCCACGGATAATAATTGGAGATTTCAATGCACATAATCCGTTATGGGGTTCAACAAAACTAACATCTCTAGGTCGAAAAATAGAAAAAATAATAGAAGAAATCAATTCTAAATATTCT